CTTCGGCAACGGAAATCTCAGCAACGGTGGCTGACAGGTGGGCCCTCGGCACTGGTCACTAACATGTGGGGTTGGTCAACAGTCATCGTTGATTGGTCAACAGTCAACAGTGACTAGGCTCTTAACGGGCTCAGGTGGGCCAGGCTTGGGCTGAGTTGGGGGCTGGTCCAGGTGGACGACACGGTGCTAGGTCATGCGGTGTATGCTAGGGCTTTGTCCGTGAGTCGTGCAATGTGACTACTTCAAAAGGCCTTTAGTGTGGGTCCTGGTAGATCTCGACGGCATGTTCTCGTAACTCGAGGTAGCCGGAACAGTGGTGAAACATGGGCATAGGGTTCCACGGAACCTGTCAGGGCAACCAAAAAGGGAATCCTGCAGTCCATGATGCGGCGATCAATACCACGTGGTCCAATTATGGCTTCGGGGCTCATGATGAGGTCATGGTAACTCTTTGCCGCGGCATGGCTTGGCCACGACGGTTTTTTTTAGGCGACAAGTCCTTTTCGGCGTCTCCTACGCCGTGGATCCGTTTGGCTAAGTCCGGTCTCGTGCTAGTGAGTGCGGGCGTGTCTAGGAGCGGTAGAGCTTCGTCGCAACGTCAGAGACGGTGATCAAGGCTTGACTCCTTCGCTCCTTCGGGCGTGGTTCACGGTGGACGAGACATGGCTTTAGAGAATGCTTCAATGGTAGTCGGCAACCACACCGGTGTTCTTGGAACTCCGGTGGTTCGATTTGGCTTGGGTTAGTCACGTGTGTGTGTGTGTGTGTGTGTGTGTGCTTGTGTGTCCAAAAGTCGGAGGTGGCCTCGGTCTACGCGTTCCATGGTTGGAACGCCATGGCCGGTAAGCAAAATCGGGGTTGGAAAGAGGGGCACGGTGGTGGCTCACCGAGGTTTTGTCGAAGTGGAAGAACGTGACCCGCGTTGCTCGGCATCGTGATCTTGGAGGAGCTTGTAGTTGGTCGCACCTATGGTCATCCAATGGCTTCGGCTCATCCGGGTGATCGGGCGACGAAGATGTAGCACCTAGTCGAAGCACTAGGGAAAAGAACTCGAGGTACAAGAGATGGACACGCGTAATAGATAGAACGTCATGAAGGGAAATGGAAACAAATGAGTAGACCGGCGGCGATGGTCGGCACAAGCATTTACTAATCACGGATAGATAGATGATACATAGATGATGGTCATGTGCGAATGAAAGATAAACACATGTTCACAAAAGTGGGGAGGATATAGATTGCCAAAGAGGTGGCGGCTGCTGGACGGAGCTCGGCCATGGTTCGCGGAAGACGCCGCAAGGGGCCGGCTTCTTCCCTGCACACAGAGTTACACGGCTCGAAGGCCGGTCACAGAAGATGACGACGGTCGATGCCGGGAAGAGGTTGCGGTCCTTTAGCGAAGTGGTGACCGCGGCAGCCGAGGATGGAGCTCACGGCTGGTGCTGCGACGGTGGGCTCCGGCCTTGCTGGTAGTCACCGAAGGGTGGGAGGTGCTCGCGCTGGCGGCGTGCTCGACGACGTCCGTGCGGCTCCGGCGTGGCGTGATTCGGAGCAGCGTGGCGAAGGTGGCTCCGAGCGGTCATTCCGACAGCGCGGTGGGCGACGTCGCGGTGTCATGGCACTGGTGCAGAGGCTCAGGACGGCGCGACGTCACGACATGCTCACGTCGCGGGCGGGGAAGGAGCTTGGCTTGGGGCGATGGATCGTGTCCACGGCCGGCTCGACGTCGCGGTGGCGAGGCCTGGTGCAGGTCGTCGTGCACGTCGGGGTGGTCTCGCGGTTGAGGCGCGGCTCGAGGAAGACGGACGCCGTGGGGATGCCGGCGGCAGCCAGCGGTCGCGAGGCGGTGTCTTAGGGCGAAGGGCGCGATGAGTGCGTAAGCTTGACCACCGCCTTGGCCTCTGGGCGCCATGGCTATGGCTCTCTTGGAAACGGGAAGGAGGCAGAGGTGGGTGGCGTGGATGCGGCGGCCGACAAGAAGACGGAAGACGGCTCCTCGGGCTCGGCCTCAGGTCCGGGACGGCGCGACGTCGGGCGGCCGGGGAGCACGGCGTCGCGGGTGGTGCTTCGGTAGCAGCCCCGGCTCGACGTGCTTCGGAGCAGCGTGGCGATGGTGCTCGGCGTGGCTGTGGATGACGTCACCGTGGCGAGGTTTCGGAAGCGGCTTGGCAGCTCCTCCGGCGAGGCGAGGGCAGGCTCTCGCCGGTGGCTTTGTCGCGACGCGAGAGGTGGAGGCGGCCGCTGTAGTGCGCCTCCAGCGTGGCGAGGCCGTGGTGAAGGCGGCGGCGGCGGCTTGGAGGAAGAAGAAGAAGGGCGACGCTATTTATGCAGGCAGGCTAGGGCAGCCAGGGGTCGCGGACGACGACGATTCTCAGGGTCCGCGCTCCCCGGCCACGCGGCGCGCATCGAGCGAGGGGGCGCGGGGCTGGCGTTGCGCGCACGCGAACTCACAGCAGGCGAGCGGCGGCGGCGTGGGAGCGGGGTTGCGTGCGTGCTTTGCCTAGGGTTGGAATGGGCGGCTTAATTCTTGGCTGGTGAGCCAAGCCAAGCACAGGCTGCCGTTGCCAGGTTGGGCCAAAAAGGCGGCCAGGGGTGGACCGAAGAGAGAGGAGCGAGGGCAGTTGGCTGCTGCGCCGGTTGGGCAAGCGAGACCCTGTGTGTGAAATGTAAGGGAGGAGGAGGAGGCGGCGGGTGGCAGGGCGGTGGGCCACGGCAGCAAGAGAGAGAGGGGGCTCGGTTGGGCTCCTACGCTGGTTGGGCCAAGGGAAGGGGTGAGCGGGCCGAATGGAGTAGTGGCGAGCTAGGCCTGCTGGCGCCGGTTCAGGAAAAAGATAATGAAGGGGAAAAGAGGGAGTGCTGGGCCGGCCAAGGCGTGAGGGGAGAGAAGAGAGAAGGGAATAGATTTTTCAATTTATGTTTAAATGGTTTTGAATTTGGATTTGAGAAGAATTCACCACATCTTGAGAAGGATTTCCAAGGTGAAAAATAAAGCGGTATTCGAGGAATCATTCGGAGAGATTCATATGAACTCAAGACGAAATTTCCACGAGTGTTCGGATGGGAATTTTTCAGGGGATATTCGAAAAGACTCGAAGGGAAAATTCGGAGGAATCCGCATGGAGTTTGAATAGGAATTTCAATAGAGGGGTATTGATGATACTTAGAGACGTGAGCTCCAAGAGGGGCTCGAGATGATTTTCACTGGCGACGAGAGGAGAGGGTCTTTTCCTTTGTTCTCCTACTCCTAGGTCTTACATGTGCGTACCCGCATGTATTAACGACATGCCTACTCATCGTGGTGGTCTACTAGGGGTCTTAGGGTTTAGGGACTCCGGTCCAATGGTCGACACAAATATAAATGGCAAGTCCGGGTTCTAGTGGAGTTCGGGATTATAAAGAGAGATTCACGAAGGCTCGAAATAATCCCGCGATGATCACAAGGAGGTTGCTATGGGTTGTGCTCTAAAACAATAATCAAGGCTCAAACACAGGACAACTTGAAAACTCCGGCAATCACCTACAAACCATCTATATGTATGCAACGTCTTGTTAGCGAGTTGGACTCGTGTTTGACCTAGCAATTACATGTTTCACTTATTGCAGGAAATTTTTAAAAAAAGTTCGTATTTTTTTGCTTCTCCAAAAACTCAGGTTGTTACATCATCGTTCAGGACGTGCTTCACCACGAAGCACCCATTGCCGCAGGTCACAACCAAGGCACGTCTGTGTTGCGAACTGATGACAGCTGAGATGCCATCACCTGTGACCGCTCCATTGAGCTCCTCTGCTGCAACACCTACAAGCTTTTGTGCTGCATCATCAAATATCATGACATTCACAGAGCCTGTCTCGTCTTCCATCACCGCATGCAGCTTGTACCTTAGCAACAACAACAACATGGTAAGATCTTTCAAAAGGAAAATGCAAGATGTGCTGCATATGAAAACTACGAACTGAGCAGCCATGTGGGAATGGCAGCAATAGTCTTTCAGATTCTCACCTCTCAACAGATAGTGGACAATCATCGATGCACAAGACTTTGCTTCCACCCCAACTGATCGAGCGACGGCAGTGAAAGCATGACTGGTATGACCAACCTTTATTGCAGTCTATGCCTTTCAAGGTGGATCTGCACAACCAGGTACGCTGCTATAGAGAAAAAGGGACAGATAAGTGAGCAAGACATATGGTTTGAATCTGATCAGACGGCGCCACCTAACCTGTAATTCATATGCAGTGAGGCTTGTCAGCTGTTTTATTGTTCGCCAGCTATCAACTAACTCAGTTCGTTTTACAGGCTTTTGTAGCCGACATGGGAGGCAATCGATCGGTTTATGTGGACCATCCAAGCTGCATACACATAGAACTATTAGCTCTGGCCTTATGTAGCCTTGATCAGCATTTCTGCTCAAGTATAAATGATTGAGTTGAGTCAGTCCACACCTTGCACGGAACTTTTGCACCTCCTCTACATCCAAATCCAGGTAGTATTTTGAAGCTGATGTTGAGCGAACTATAAATCGTATTTCTAAATAGCATGATGGTGAGATGAGATTTGAAAAACAGGGAAAGGACGATATTATGCAGTTAAAGAAATAACTGAGAGTATAGATCAGACCCTTGTAGTACTCAACAAGCATCCCTGCAAAAATAGCAACAACTGGGACTTTTTGGCCTTGCTTGAAAACCTGCTCTGCGTTGAAATTGCGACCCAAATCTCCAAAGAGAGTGACATTCAATTGCTTTCCCCTGTAAACAGTAATACATAAAGTAAGGTGCTGCCACAAAAGTAAAATGATGATTTGGAAGGAAGATTAGTAAACCATCACCCCAAATCGCGCAGATGTATGTTGCGAAAAGATATGTTACGCAAAGTACCCCACTTCCAAGTCCACCCCTCATCTTCAATGGAAACTATCTGGCCAATGACATCTACCAAACAAGCAAGTTAAAGGGTCAATTTAGACATGTGCAAACAGCAAAATTCATTGCAATTATACTCAGTTCCCAAAACATCTACCCGTAAGCAAGCTCCTGTCATTGTTCCTAGATGGAAGATCACCAAAATCAACAAACTCGAAGCCATGGAGAGGTATCGAAGAACCGGTATGATCGGTTGTCTCGTTCACCACTGTCTGTGCTCCCATGCTAATTACTAAACCATTGCTACAGGCCATGTACTTGTCCAGTTTTTCGCGTACTCCGAAATTCGACAAGGCGTAGACCTTCCCTTCAACTAGCTGGTGTTTGAGTCGCTCCGACCCAGGGACGCGCACACGCTTGCATAACTACACCCTACAAAATTACAAATCACCAGGGAGAAAAAAAAATTAAGTGTGCTGGTACTGAAAAATCAGGCACTAGAGTGTGCTACTTCGATCACCAATGGGTTTAGTATGGACTAAAGAACTTTAATTTGGGGAATGGACTGGCTCACCTCGCTGTCGACCAGGAGGCAGCGGAGACCGTATTCCTCGCCAGTATTTGGATTGGAGGCCACCCAAATCCTGGAGACGCGCACCCGGACTCTGCTCCTCCAACCGTGGTATCCGAGGGTTAACTGAGACAACGGGGTGAAGGCACCTTGACCTTGTGATGGACCACGCATTCCGGCGGCATGGGGGCTCAAGCTTGTCGTCATCCCTAACCCTGAGCTGCAGGAGAACAAAGAACAGAACACAGTTGACAGATCAGCATAGAGCTAGAGAGTCGCAGAGACAGAGAGAGACACCAAAACCAGAGACGAGCCTTTCTATACTAAAAAAATTCATGCGGCGGTAAAAATAAACCGCCGATTCAAGTTAGTGCGCTATCCAGGTTCATCAGTTACAGTTGCTAGTGAAGGGGAATGAAGCGTCGAATCCTAGCCTAGCGAACGCATGCCGCTTCAAGAACTAGAGGCATCGGACTCATCACCGACTGGATTTCAAGAACAAACGATCAAGACGAGTTTTTTTTTGCTTGAGATCAAGACGAGGTAACAGTCAAGAAACTGGTGTACCTCGCCTGGTGGAGCGACGGCGGCTTGCGCAGCATGTCTCATAAATCAAGCTTTTGTCGTGGGAGAAAAATTGATAAGCCGAACAGGCCCGAAGAGAATGCACCCGTTCGTACAGAGCAGAAGTTAATGCAGAACAGCTGAGCAGCTGAACTGCAAAGCCCCGTGTCCCGTGGCCGTGGCCGTGGCCGTGGCATCCGGAGTAAACGAGGAGTGCTTCCCAAAAAAATAATAAAAGACCTGAGGAGACCCGAAGTGTAGCACGTGGAAGAAGGAACAGGCAAGCGACTGGTGTGAAGTACTCTTAGTCGGGACAGGACGATGCCAAGGCAACTGACCCACGTAAAAAGGTACTACTACCCCTATGGACACACTGTTTACTCGCTCGAAAAAAACATGATTTTTTTATTAAGGAGTCAATAATTTTGAGTTGAAATCAAATCTATATAAAATATATTTAATATTTATGAAATCAATTAAGTATTATCAAGGTGATAGAATATTTTTTTTACAATGAACCTATTTAGAATATCTATCGTCTTGTTTGGGCTCGTTTAGCTTATAAGTCATGGCTGACTGTTGACTGTTTGGTATAAGAGAAAAATATTATTCGTTAGCCGATAAGACATGGCTTATAAGAACAACTCTAAGAGATTCTATATATCCTTCCTAAATACTAGGAATAGACATTTTGGTAAAAAATTACCCTCCAACAGCTTGTCTAAATGGTTATGCAAATATAGCCATCTTCTATTCCAGATTTTTCGCTAGCAAAAAATAGAAGACAAGAATAACCCTCTAGAGTGCGCACGAGATATAGAAAAGCTGTTAGAGAGTGAAAAGATATAAAAAACGATTTTTATGAAAATGACTCTCCAAATAATAATTTAGAGAGTGAGATTTAGAAAGACTCTTAAAGATGCTCTAAGCCAAATACAACTAAGCGAACAGGCTTTATATCGTGTGGCTAAGAAGGTCCAAGGAAAACAAGAAAGTGCAAGGCGTCCAAGAGAAGACGTTAGGGCGTTCCCAACAACTATCTAAATAGCTAGCATTGTATTTTATTTCACTTAAAAGAGAAAATGTAGAAAATAAACTCTCTAGAGAGTGTGTAAGTAGTACGTTCCCACGTCTCCCCATCCAAGACCGTTTATGCCTCGTTTAAATCTATAATGTAAAGTTTCTAGGTGTTACATCGGATGTTATGTGGAAGTGTTGTATGGGATATTCGGATACTAATAAAAAATAAATTACAGAATCCGTCAGTAATGCACGAATTTATTAAGCCTAATTAATCCGTCATTAGCACATGTGTACTGTAGCACCACATTGTCAAACCATGAACTAATTAGGCTTAAAAGATTTAACTCGCAAATTAGTCACAAACTGTATAATTAGTTATTTTTAATCTATATTTAATATTTTATACATGTGTCCAAATATTTAATGAGATAGTAAGTACACTTTAGGGGAGGAATTAAACGAAACTTTACCCTACTTTGCCTATAATGTGCAGCTACTCCTTTTATCTCTTTCTTTATTCACTCACGTCTCTTAGAACCAGCTGGCGATTTTATCTTATCGTTGGGGATGCCCTAAGATTGAAAAGTAAATGCGAGGATGGCCCCGTTCGCCGACAGGAATCTAGAAGAATTTATGAGAGTATAAACAGTATTTTTCAGCCGTGGACACTGAATTCCGGGTGATTTTAAGGACAGGTAAACGGGCCTATACCTGTGCTGTGAAAAGTGAAAACTAGGTAGGTTAATAGAAGAATCAAATAAATATTTATAGAATATTAGATTGAATTATTGAGGATGTAGTGGCCAAACAATCAGTATGATGTGGATGTCTTTGTATATTGATGTACTGGAAATAGTAATTATACTTAGTGAAAGATAATGTAATACTTAACATGTAGGGCCCGTTTGGCTTGCTGAATCTTGGCTGAAACTGGCCGAAAAATACTGTTCTAGCTGAATTGTTGTGAAAGAAAAATACTGTTCCGGCTGAAAAAACAAGCCGAATATGGGGTAAGCCAAACGGGTAGCTTACATGCTGAGGTTAAAAGTTTGTGGTGTTTATTTTTACAAGTGATATAGATATAGATTTCTTGCGTGCATAATTTTCTTTGTTTTCCTTGTTTTCAAGGAAGTCGTTTATATAGAATATTTATACGTACATCGACCATCAATGTATTGCAGGCAGAACTTAAGTTATGATTAAATTTGAGGTTAGTTGATTCTTAGAGCAGCTTTAGTGTAGTTCAAAATTGAAGGATGAGACACTCAAAATCGAACCATACACATGTTGCGGCGATCGAACCTTGCGTGTCAACGAGAATCGACTCTTGCATATGCGCCTCACCAAGAGAATAGTTTAATCCAGCAACTAGCTTGCGTGCAAGGTACCACATGCTAGTGGTGGAGCATTGGAGAGTAGGATGATGAGTAGCATAGAGAGAAAGTGTTTTCTTATTCATTGTGTGCTCTAAGAAATCGATGTATGCACTAGAGGTAGCGAACTTGCTGAAGATGATCGAACTCTGCTGCTTTTGTTCGACACCACACTAGAGCTGCCCTTAAAGGAAGATTGTATTTATTTCGAGACGGAGAGAGAGAGAGAGTATATAGAAGATTGTAGGTAAGCGCATTTATTTCACAAATCACGACATATATAATAGAATGCTATACAGATTGTCTAGGGCACGAGGCGAAGATATATAGCCTATTTGCTTATTGGTTTCAGCCAGGGCTTATCAGTCAGCTGATAGTGTTTTTCTCTCACAACAAACCAGCACCAGTTAGACTTATCAGCCCAGAAACTAACCAATGAACAGGCCGATAGTGTGGGCTGCAAATGCACTCTCTAAAAAACTTGTGCATATAGGATAAGTTAAGTTGTTTGTACAGTAATATGGCACCAAAATGTAAGGTGCAAGTGCTGGTCTTATATCTCTCCAGTACCGTCGGTGAGCCTCACATGTCAATGCCATGTAATTGCACAATAAGTGTGTCGCAGGCAGGTTAATCTAAGTTATGGTGATTTAAATGTCACATGACATAATCAATAAGTTCAGATACGTGAAAATGTATTTTTGAAGTTTTAGGACCTAGATAACGCCTTGTGCCAAATTTGATAGCCCACGGTGCGTTTAGCTCAAAAAAACACAGCTCACACGTGATTTGGGGTCGCTGTAAATCTCAAACTTGTTATGCTCTCCAACTCAGTTCCAGCTTATTCTTCACGCATGGCCGAATCGAGAAAATCAATAAGCTCGCTAGTAGTAGTAATGAAGTAGAACACAGAGTCATGGCACGTATCATAATTACTTTAGTAACTCTTGTTCAAGAATTACTAGTAGGGTATAGGTTCTTTGAATTGTTCAAGATGGAACCATGTACGCAAGGGATCGGCTAGCTGCGACGATCGATCGACTAGGTGTCCCGTGTGCGTACCTGCGCCGCCGTTTTACTTTGCAAGAAAGGGTTCCTGCTTGGTTGACCGTGTTGACGGTCGTGACGGTGTGAGCCCGCCGGACGACGGGGGTTCGGCGCCTCGGCGGCAATGGTGCCTCCGTTGGCCGTTGCTATATGCTCGCGGAATGGCGCCGCCGTCAGACGCGTAGCAAATTGATCCGTGCACGTACGTACCTAGTAGTACTAGCTAGCAAGGCACGGTTATATATAAACAACTTCGTGTGTGTAGCAAGTCTAAGACGAAGACGTGTAGACAGACACACACAGAGAGGATACACGAATTTTAATCCGAATCGGAGAACTATTTGCTTCTGATCAGAACACGCACGATACGTATAAAACGTGTTCGATCACGTATTCATGTCTGACTTAAAGTCGGACGTCGCCGCCGTCGATAAATAAATAAGTAAATACAAAAGCTAGCTAGCTAGCTGCCTAGCTTAATAGGATTCCTTTTGCTGTAGTATATTATCTATATCTACGCCGTCGATATATATATACGCGCGCGCGCGCACACACGGACAGACAGTACCGAAAATAACAAGACGAACATCTCGAGTAGGCGGCAGAGCATCATCGTTCTGCTGCGTGCGCGCCATGGTGCTGACGAGGAGCATGGCGGCACGGCGGAAGCCGCTGGCGCTCCCGCACGACATGGTCGTCGAAATCGTGGCGCACATCGCCGCGACGTCGCCGCACCCGATGGAGGACATCTGCAGCCTACGAGCCACGTACGTGTCCGTTTGCACTCCACCCACCCCTGCCCCGCACGGATGACATACATTCATTATTCATGACTACGTACGTACGTGTCGACCGGTGCTTGTAAAACACGTACGTACGCGCATTATAAACTTGCAAATTGTCTACCGGTACATGTCTTGCAGTTGCCGGGGCATGCGCATAGCGTGCAAGGAGGGCGCCGTGGGGAGCCGCGTGGTGCTGGAGCGAGAGGAATCCATGAAGTGGTTCGACAACGACCGCTACCTCGCCCTCGTCGACAACCTGGCCGCCGCCGGCAACCGGAGGCCTGCTTTGTGCTCGGGCTCACGCTCGTCTTCGCGCAGCAGCGGTGCACGGCGCCCGCCGGCACCGAGTGGCTCAGACGGGCGGCCTACGTGCTCGGCGTCCTCCACTACGGGGACAAGGACGCCCGCGACGGCGCCAAGCAGTACATCAGGCAAGTCGAGGGCGAGGCGGCGCTCGACGGGTGCAACAGCAAGGTCTGCAGGAGACCAACCGGGAGTGCGTGAGGTACCCTGAGCTAGCCGTCCAGGCGGTCCGGGACGTGACATGGAAGGTGGTCATTACCTGTTACTTAATTAGAAGCACGAGCTAATCTCTAATCTCTTATATCTATCTATACGGCCCCGTTTGACAGGGCTTCACTTTACTGGTGAAATCATTTTTTTTTTACTTCAGCTCCACGAATAGTTCCGGTGAAGCTGAAGCGATTTTGGTAAACCGTTTGACAAAATGGCTTATCTGTGAGAGCATGTTTTTAGGGGCCTGGAGGAGGAGCAGGGAGAAGCCACTTTTTTTTTTGTTCCATCCCACCC